AAGGTTCCTAGTGATGAATCTGTGTCTCATCACCAGTAACATTTTTTTAAAGAAACTTAACCATCCTTCGAGTATCAGTCCAAATTGTGTTGGCAGATGTTCAAACACTTCTGCGTATGCTCTTCTGTGAGTTGTTTCGGTGCCCATCTCACATGCACTTTTCAAAACCCAAATCTGTCATGGATTATATCATAGAGCCACAGCTGATGATTCGCCACGTAATCCACTGTCACTTGTCTATTCGACAGAATCACTTTATGTGCACACTCAAATGTTGTCATCAGCCGTGGATGGTGTTTTAATATAACTGGAGTAAGGATGAGTTTTTACTCACCCTCATAGGTTGCCAGATTGACAGAGCAGATAATAACAAGTACTGATATGTCTTCATTATAATAAAGCACTTGACCAAATCTCCCACAGTAGTTTTGGGGAAGGTGATAAATTATGGATTCAATGGGAATACTTTTAGGATGAAACCTTGCTGATTTCTCATATTGTTAATAAAAACTAACTTTTTAATAAAAAGGTAACTAATGGGTAATTAGGAGTATGATCTGTGATAGTCACCAATCCCTATGTTTTACTCTTGTCATGAAAAAAATGAATCTAAATAAATCGGGGGGTGGGGCAAATGAATAGAAGATGACTTCAATCAATCTGAAGGTGACTGAAATCTAGGAGGATTTGTCCCTCTAATAGAGGACCTCATCATATTCAGAACAATTTTTGAATGATTAAATGTTAAGCTAATGTCACAAAGATTCAATCTGTAACTCTGAATTTAAGTACATAAAAGTGTATGGAAAGAGAACTAAGAAAACTTTAATGTTCATGACTAGAAAACAATTTTTTTGAAATTTTAAATAATTCTTGCCATTATCATCCACTAATAATAAAATAATCGAACAATGGTATATAACACAGCTGCTATAAACCATAGAGGTTAAAAGCATAGCCTTTGGAGACATGCCTATTGTCACCCTAGGCTTCAGCCTCAGCTCCATAACTTAGAAATTGTTTGATTTTGACTAAGTTACATAGCCTTTTGAAGGTCAGATTTTCCTTTGACACTAAATGGAGATTAAAATAAAAGTTTCTTTCTCAGGTTGCTGGGAAGAGTAAATAACAATGTTGTGTGCTGTCTAATCAATTAAATACAAATGTCTTATTGTTGTTGTTGCGTGCCATCAAGTCTGTTCTCAGTCATCAGTACTCTGTATAGTGTTTCTGAGGATGGGTTGGTGGATTTAAGCCACCAACCTCTGGTTAGCAATGCAGTGCTTATCCTACAGTGCTACACCAGGACTCCTAAATAAGAATTTGTGTGTAAACATTTTTTTAAAAACCTTCTAAATCCTAGATTATATGAACATTATCTGTGTGTATTCATAATAACAACATACATAAATATGGGCAGTAATGATGAAGAAATTTCTGATCAGTAATTAACTACATTTTATCAGGAACACTGAGAAAATACTGAGCATTAAAATAATGTTGTAGAGGATTACTGAGGTGTCTGAAAATAATGGATGGAATTATAGAAGGAAACACTAAAATTATAATCTTTGTCTCCAAAAGATTTTAAGAACCATCCTGTAGAACAGAGTTAGTTCCCCATTGCGTTTTTAAAACATAAAAAAGATTAATAAGGGTTAGTTTTAAAAACACAAGTTTTAGAAAAGAATTTTTGTCATTAGTATCATATAAAACAGACTACTTCCCAACACTACATATAGTTACTATGACCCTAACTAGTTGTATATTGGAAGTGCGCTGAGGAAAACATTTACTTAAGTAGGATACTAATTAAAGACCAAGGATTCAAAATGGTATATACATTTTGTATGTGTGTATATTGTGGTTTGTTTTTGAAACTGGATCAGAAGCTTTTTAGGACTAGAGTTTTATTATTAATTTTTGTTTTCTCTCCCTAAGTAGTTAACAACAGTAAATAAAGAAAATGTGGTTAATAAACAAATGAATGTATGATTGATGCATACATGTTAGGAATGCTCATTACATGCATACTGTATCAACTCTAAGATACCAAATAAAATTATGAAAGAACACAAAATAACAACTTTAGAATCTATATATTTTTTAAAAATTGATAACTACTGAAGTGACAAATATTTTGTTATTTTTTACCATATTTAAAAAAAAAAATAAGTTTAGTGGAAACCAGTGTAGATGGTAAAGGCTGTATTGCTAAGAGACTTGATTAATAAAAAGGAGTTTTAAGAGTTCCATGCATGGTGACAAGTAAAATGGTGCTTCTCATACATTAGTAACACTTTTACTCAATAGCACAAAGTTCCCAACCTTCAACTACAAGCCTCAGCATTTAATGGATAATTATATCTATTTGGTACCACCAAGAGCCGATTCCTATTTCAGAGAACTAGAACTACTATGAAATATGATTTGATGGTAGAAACCAAGTCTTTGTAATACTCGTTTTGCTTAGAACTGCTTCCCATTGATACATGTGCTTTATTTCATGTAATCCCAAGGGTCTTTTCTCATTCCTGGGCCCATTGCAATCATACGTCCTCATTAAAATTCCTTCTCTTGAAGGTCATATTGTCTAAGGTAAATTGTCACCACACAGTTAATGATGTATGCATGTATGTGTATACACACAACCATATGCTTCCTTACTATTTTCTGCTGGAGATCTTTAGCATTGTCTGATATGCTTCTCCAGGTGACTTGAGTACCGTGGCTGTGCAATTGTATTCTTCACTGAGCAGCACAATTTTTCATCTTCACATATTGCATTCTCTTCAGACACTTCCAATTTCTCTCCGGCAGTGCTTCCAACCCCATTACAGAGTGAGAGTCACTGTTGGGGCCCATTTGGGCACAGACCAGACCTTTTGTTGAGGTTGAGTTACTGTACTCCTACCTTCCTAATTATAGAATTCAAAGCAGAATGAGTGAATTAATAGCATATATTTAATCCCAGCAGTGTCGTGCTGCGACATGCTTACAGTAGCACATAAGCTTTCCTTTTTCTTCTAGTCCACCATTTTTGCTGTGTAGCTTCACAGCAGCAAGAATGGAAGGTACACTTTACTCACCAGTGAGTAAATCATGTGAATGGATGTTTTAAAGCACATTCCCAATACACAGTCCATTGGGAGAATGGTACTTTCAAAGCTCTCAGAGGACCCATGCTTGGAATTTGAAATTGTACTAAGTACTGTGTTTTCTCTGGTACCCTAGCTAAAGCAAGATGATAGAGGCATACTAAGAATTTAAATGTGGGCTGTTACATTCAATTTCACCAATAAAAAAAAAAAATTCTCAGGTGTTTTGCTTCTAGAGCCTTCCATACAGGCAAATACTTGGAATCTTAGCACCAGGGAGATACAATTCTAGATTACCCAAAGACTGGAAATCATGTCTCTCTGTAATTGATAATGAGAAGAATTTGGATTCATTCTGATTGATTGAAGCTGACTTTGTGCAAGGTAGCCTTTGCATTCATGTGACAATCTGTATTTTCAGGTTCATGCAGGCTTGTATAAATCCCCCCCAAAATGGTCTTTAATGGTTGTGGTTGGGAAAATTGGGAAGGTAATTCTCATTGTTCTTTACGCCACCTATTTGATTCTAAATTTTGTTATAAGGATCCATCTCTCAGGAGATGTACAGAGCAGGAATGTATAAGGGAAAGGTTTAACTCTGGAGAAATGTGACTGTTTCCCTAAGTTTGGCAGGCTTCAGTAAGCTCTTTTTATGGAAAAAAATTACCAAGATTATGAAAGAAATAGGTGAAGTTATGAGGAAGAAGGCAGACTGTGATTCTGTTCCTCAGTTTGTTTGCCTGATTATGACTGTGTATAATCTTGGTCACACTGGAGAGTCCAAAGAGACTAAAAGGACAGAAATACAGTGAAATCGTTTTTTAACATGTGGACTATCCATGATACATGCAAAATAAATACTTGTTGGATTAACGAATAACTGATTATGTATAAACTTATGTAATATTATATACTACATATCATTTTATCATGTTAAATGTAGAATAGAAAAGAGTAAACTTCTAAATGGCTATCAGTAGAAATTAGTTATAAAAATGGTTTTGTTTCCTTCAGTAGAATAATGTGCAGCCATTATAAATTATGCCATAACCATGGGTTTATTATAAATACACAATGTATATTTGTTGTTGTATGACTCAATTTATATAACATCATATGCACTTATGCGTCTGAAAGGTTATTCAGTAAAATATTTATAGTAGTGATATTGAAAGTAGAAGGTGGGGTGATTTTTATTATACTTTTCTGCAGTTGATTGTGTCTTAATTAAATGAGAATATGCATTAATGTAAACCAGAGAAAATCTATTTCCTTTGTTTAAAAAGTTAAAATTATAAATATGAAATGAATCATTTTAAGAAGTGTGATCCAGGTTGAAAGTATAATTTTCAGAAATTATTGAGTAAGAACTCTAGCATTTAATAGGTAACTAAGCTGCTTTATGAGGAGCTCTGGTAGCGTAGTGATTACGAATCGGGCTACGAACTTTAAGGTCAGTGGTTCAAAACTACCAGCTGCTCCGCGGGAGAAAGATGAGGCTTTCTACTCCTGTAAGGATTTACACCCTCGGAAACCCTGTACAGGGTCGCTATGGGTCGGAACCAACTCGAAGGCACTTAACAACAACAACAACAAGCTGCTTTATAGACTGCTTTATATACTAGGTGACTACTAGAATCACGATTTCTTCCTAAATTGCACTCGTAGAAGACCCAATCACAGTCCTTCCTTCACAATTATTTGCAACTTCATTTCTTAGGATACAAAGTAAAGTGAAGACTGAAGTTTTAGAACTCTCAAGAGGAATCTTCTTCAGGTTCTAGTACTTGTCACCACTACGCTGCATTTAACTATGGGAAATAGCAAATGTCGAATCAACTATAAATGAACTATGCATATGCTCTAGATTTCTCATCCCTGTTTACCAATAATTTCTTTCAGCTATTGATCTTATCAATAATTTGCTGCAAGTAAAAATGAGAAAACGTTATAGTGTGGATAAGACCTTGAGTCATCCTTGGCTACAGGTAAGGAAGAACAACAATCAATCATTGCCTGCTTTATCTGTTAGATGAGCTTCAAAATGGTTATTAGTATTTATATTGTATGTAAAAGTTATTTTTCACAGTTTTTGAAATAGAAATTTTCTAATTATTAATTGATTTGTCAAACTGCAGGCAACTTCTTGGGATTTAATAACAGTTTTGTTTTTCTAAACGACTCTTTCTACCCAGAAAATTTGACAGGGGAGAAACACAAACACAAAAGTGGGGGTGGTGGTCATAACAGAACTCAGAGTACCAGATTTCAAAAGCATCTGTATGTGTAATCCTGATAAATGTCCAAATAGATGCCCATCTGGTCATGTGCTGTACTTGTTTGCGAGCTTTAATTTTAAATCTTAGGCTTTTGTTCATGGAACAAACATAGCAAATATGAAGTATGTGATTGTGTTCTATTAAATATTTGTTATTTTCACATTAAATTGAAAGGCTGGATAAATGATACTTGTATTACTCTGAACCTGTTAATGGTAGTTGTTAAAGTTCAAAGAAATATCAACATTTCAAATCCTTTGAAATTAAGATGCTAACTGTCATCTTTTGCTTCGTGGTGCCATATAAGCAATGTGTATTTGCAAAGGTTAGGAAAATAGGATGGCTTTGGTAGTGATACTGTCTCTTCAGGGTGAACTGATGAAGGACGAAGCACTGGTAGAGTGGACGAGCAAAGGGTAATACATAGACTATGGAAACAGACAGCTTATGAAACAGCATGTTGAGTTTTAATGATTCTCTACAGTAATGTTGTAAAATTTCTGCCTCAGGATTATCAGACCTGGTTAGATTTACGGGAGCTGGAGTGCAAAATCGGGGAACGTTACATCACCCATGAAAGTGATGACTCGAGGTGGGAGCAATATGCGGGCAAGCAGGGCCTGCAATACCCCACACACCTGATCAATCTGAGTGCTAGCCACAGTGACAGTCCTGAGACGGAAGAAACAGAGATGAAAGCCCTCAGTGAACGTGTCAGCATCCTCTGAGTTCCATCCTCTATAATCTGTCAAAACACTGTGGAATTAATAAATACATACGGTCAGGTTTAACATTTGCCTTGCCGAACTGCCATTATTTTCTGTCAGATGAGAACAAAGCTGTTAAACTGTTAGCACTGTTGATGTATCTGAGTTGCCAAGACAAATCAACAGAAGCATTTGTATTTTGTGTGACCAACTGTGTTGTATTAACAAAAGTTCCCTGAAACACTAAACTTGTTATTGTGAATGATTCATGTTATATTTAATACATTAAACCTGTCTCCACTGTGCCTTTGCAAATCAGTGTTTTTCTTACTGGAAACTCCTTTTGGTAAGAGAGCAAAAACTGCCCATGAAATAATGCTATTCTGTCTGGCCCATTGGTGTTGTCAATCTAAGTAAACTCTTGAAGAGTAAATTATTATCAGTGTTCTATGAACAATTCTAAAACTAATGTGGAAAAATTGATTGAGGAGGGGGAGAATAGATATACAGTCCAAAACCACATATGCATGAGAGTTCTAATACAGTTTCAAATCATTTGCCTACCTGCCTGTCTGATGTGCCTCATCTATTGAAACTCCAATGAATGCACCTTGGCACGCAGGGTCTATTGTTCTTAAGCCTAAATGCCTTAGAAATGTAAACTGCCAGATGCAACAGATACATTTCCCCACTTTCTTACAATAAACTTTATGCTGTACTATGGAAAAATCAGCAGCTAAGCAACCTTTCACCTTTGTGTATTTTTCAATAATAAATAAATATTCTTCTCAAAGTTTGTGTCCACCTGACTGTAATTTATTTTGATTTGGAGTTCACAAAGATGATTTTAAGAGTTATCTGCTTAACAAGCATTTCTGAGAGTAAGGGGAACACTCAGTGTGGCGAATTGATGAAAACAGTACAGGATCAGGCGATGTTTTTGTTCTGTTATATGAGTATATAAGTATATAAGGTTGCCAAGAATCAGAGCTCACAAAATGACAACTAACAACAGTGAGAACGCAAGAAGCACTTAAAAGTTTCATGATCTAGAATTTGGTCTTATTAACTCTGAAGTTATAAAAATGCGTTTCAAAGTGTAGTGAAACCTTTCCATCATGTAAGTTACTGAATATCCAATGGAAAAGAAAGCTCTCAAAGGGAAGATTACCAAAGTCAAACAGTGTACCTGAAGATTTAAGAAAGTATATTGCAAATAACAGTCTCAGTGTATCTTCTGATTTCATCAGTATAAGCCAGGACTTTATAAGAATAAACAATCTAGTTTCTTTTCATATTATTTAACCAAGAAGGCTTTATTGTGGCAATGTAGGATAAGCATTGGACTGCTAACTGCAAGGTCAGTGGTTCAGACTCTAATAGCTGCTCCTCAGAAACTCTATACAGAGTCACTATGAGTCGTAATTGATTCAATGGCACTTAACAATAGCAACAATAAAAACACATGAACATTGGCAAATCATCTCTAAAGAGAAAGCCAACTGAAGTGAAATTTACAGCCTGGAGAAGAGAAAGCTAATGATGGATGCAATAGACTTTATGCAGCAGGTTATGGGAGCTGATTTTCTCTGTAGCAGGATGACAATGAATAGTATACCATGCAACTGATAAAAAAGAAGGGGGGATAAACTTGGAAGAAATTTTTATGACAATTGAATATATTAACAGAAAATAATGAAACAAATTTCCTTAGGAAATTTTACGAAGCGAGTAATAAATATGTTCAGATGACAGATTATATTTCCACTTGGAGGAGTTGGGGAGGATAATCTATCTAATGGTTAGTCATTACTTTGTAGTATTACTAAATTTTAACCAAATAAGTGATAATTTTGTAAGTTCTTCAGTCTTAGTGTCTGTCTCCAGAGTGTCAGTGTGTCTGTGGTCAAGTTAATAAGCATACACTAGAACACAGACACTCCATATACCCTGATAGCATTTCATCAGCTTGACAAAGCAGAATCTATTCATCTTACCAGTAGACAATGGATCTTTTGCCTTGACTAGAACGTCATTAGTATCTTTTCTATGTTAGGCTAACTAAAACAGTTTCAGGGAGGAGGAAGAGATGTGTATACACATAAAATCCTTCTCCTTTATACATACATTGCAAATTGTTGTTAAATGCCATAGCGACACTATAGGGTTCTAACCCAGAGCGAGCCTATAGGGTTTCCGAGGAGAGACTGATGAGGTTGAACCACCGACCTTGCGGTTCAAGCTGACCTTGCAGTCCAACACATTAATCCGCAGCCCCATACCAGAACTCTGTATTGTAAATTGTTGTTGTTGTTAAGTGCTGTAGAGTCGATCCCGACCCATAGCAACCCTGTATAGGGTTTCAGAGGAATGGCTGGTGAGCTTGAACTGCCAACCTTGCAGTTCAAATGGCTTTGCAGTCTGGGACGCATTAACACACAGCACCACACCAGGACTCCATAATTTAAATTATAACTTTATATTATATTCACATGCTTTTTTTTAATCAGCTGAACATAAAATGTACTCAATATTTTTCCTCATTTGTTTAAGGATTCTAAAGTAATTATAGGATAAGAAACTGTGATAATATGACCCATGTGTTATAAAGGAAGCCTAGAATCCTTGACAATTGAGAAAGGGAATCTAATATAAGCACCACTGCATTCTGAAACCACATAGTAGTTAATTATGCAGCAAAAGATTATAGAATTTCTATTCTATCCAGCTCTCTGCTACACTATAAGCAATTTTTAAAAATGTGAACAGGACATATTGTGTTCTTCAACAAGCTTAGTGTTTATTGGATAGAAACCAACAAATTATTGGTGCACTCATAAAACAGTTTACACATATATGAGACTGGGGAGGGAGGTATCAAATAAACACCAAAACCAAGCCCATTGCCATTCTGTTGGTTCTGAGTCAGAGTGAGCCTATAAATCACAGTAACACTGTCTCATGAGTTTCCAAGGCTATAATCTTTACAGAAACAGACTGTCACGTCTTTCTCTGATGAAGCAACTGGTGGGTTAGAGCCTCCCACCTCTTGGCTAGCAGCTGAACACGTAACTACTGTGCCTCCATGGCTCATTAGGCGGTACATACAGCAGTCATTTTGATAATTGAGGAAGAAAAACAAAAGGGAGATGTTTGAGCAGAGCTTTCAAAACTGTTAGGTGTTCACCAGATAAAATTAGAAGACAACATGAACAAAAACATAAAGATGCAGAGAATACTGATATCCCTGACAAAACTAGCTCCTAGCAGGACCATAAAGGTATGAAAGGGAGATGGAGACTTGCATTCAGTAGAGACAGGTATTATTCTAGGATATTTGCATTAGAGTCTATGCAAATCAAAAGAACTGGAGAAAGATCAGGCTTTCGACTCCCATAAAGTTTTACAGCCTTAGAAACCCTATACAGGGTCGCTTTGAGTGAGACATGACACCATGGCACATACCCACCCACCAAATCAAAAGAAAACCATTCAAACTCTAAGCAGAAGGATCAGCAACATGGAATTCACTCAGTCAGCAGCACAGAGCCTAAGTTCAAGGGCCAAAGAGCACCTAAACTATTGCAGGAAACTACAAAATGATTAGAGTCTGAACTAAAGCATTAAATAATAGGAAAACAAATGAAGTCAGGCATTTAAGAAATGTTCATTGTTGTTAAATGCCATCGAGTTGGGTCCGACCCATAAGGTTTCCAAGGAGCAGCTGGTGAGCTTGAACCACCAAACTTTCAGTTCAAACTGACTTTGCAGTCCGGTGCATTAACCCACATCACCACACCAAGACTCCTAAGAGATGTTAATATGTTAAATCAGTGGGGTGTTGGATTTGGAATATAAAAGGTAAGAATTTAGGGTAAGTCCTAGATTTTTACTTGCATGGTTGATGGAGCTATTAAGTAAACTGATAGCCTTGAAAAGGGTGAATTTATTTTTTAACTGAATTCAATGTTCATGTAACAAATAAAGTAATATTCATAGGTATAGGTGTTAGAACTTCAGCATATCTTTTTGAGGAATACAACTATCTTAGGATGGGTTTATTAGAGAAATGAAACCAGTTAAATATACATGTATATATAGGGAGAAGTTTGTATCAAGAAAATGGCTCACACAGTTATACAGGTGGAAGAATCCCTAGTCTGGATCAGATGAACCAAGATCAGAGGTCAGACAGCAGGGAGGCAGACAGGTAGGTTCAGCCAGCAGACAGGCAGGTAGCGAAGGTAAGAAGGTACGCTGCTGATGAATCCCAGGATCAGCAGGTAATATAGCTGTTCACTGGCTCAACCCCAAAGAACCGGAGGACGAGTCACATGCAAGATCCAGACCCAGGAGAAGCAAGCAAGCCTTGCCTGAGTGTCCAATATATACTGGAAGAAGGCCAAACCTTTCAATTGGAAGGAATCTTCGCTTCATTTGATTGACTGCCCTTAGCTGACCTCATCATAGGGGTGATTACATTTCATTAGATCTCATCATTCGAGATACCACCCCAATTGTCAAACCACTGACCATCCCAACCCAGTCAAGTTGACACAAAACCTAAACTATTGCAATTGAATCCATTATAATGACTAAAGGTTTTCCCAGCCTTTCCTGAGCATTCATACAGCCTCTTACATACAGGTAACTAGGGGTATGAGAAATCTTTCCCTGTGAAATTTCTGACTAAGCTAAGAGTCTCCACCACTCATTTGTCAGTTTGTCGTACTGTGGTGGCTTGCATGTTGCTGTGATTCTAGAAGCTATGCCACAGGTATTTTGGATACTAGCAGGGTCACCCCTGGTGGACAGGTTTCAACTGAGATTCCAGATTAAGAGAGATGAGAAGAAGAAGAGATTGCTTCTGAAAATTTACTCCCTGAAAACCTTATGAATAGCAGTAAAACAATGTCAGATAGAACCAGAATATTGAATATTGAAACATAATGAAGATACCAGAATATTGTCAGATATAGTGCCAGAAATGGTTTACAATAAATGATTGCCTATTAGTATTA